ACCCAATGGAAATGTGGGCAAAGATTATGAAGGAGTGGGTCCCCTCAGAGGAAACTGCAACAGCCAGTAACACACAAAAGCCATTTAGCCCTAGAAGATGTAACGAGAGGTAGAATTTCAGACCCACCAGATAGAAGTCTTATTGATAAGACTTATTCACAGGTGGGGAAACAAAAACTTGAATACACTGGTTTTGGGGATCTAAATTAGTATAACTACTTTGGAAAGTAATTTGACCATTTCTTGTAAGATTGGAAATACAACCACCACACAGCCTGGCACTGACACTTTTAATTTATGGAGAAATGCAGGAACACGTGGCCAAAGAGAAACACGCACCACAATGCATCGTTCAGTAGGGTCTGACACTGGAAAGATCCTACTTGCTCACCTTATGGATACGTATGGATACAAATAATGTTACGTGGGAAAAAGAGGCAAAATGAAGAAAGATACGCTCCTCATGTACTTTTCAAAAGCCTGCGGTTCTCTCTGTATTGTGTGTGTGTGCAGTGGAAATGTCAAAACATGACACGGAAACACAAATTCACGCTAAGCTGCTTTAGGAGGGGATGGAAATGGGGAGCTTTAAAGGCTGAATCAATAATACTTGAGCTTATCACAGAAAAAGTCTGAAGTAAATGTGAAAAACGTTAATATTTGTTAACTATCTGGCTGCTTAATAAAACTCTTTTTTGACATTTAAAAAAATTTAATTTTTGTTGAGTAAAGAGTGGATTCAACCAGGAGGCATCCCAACATAGGACTTCTCGAAAAGGACAGAATTGGATGGGTAAGAGTACACAGGACGTGAGTGACAGAAAAATCAAGCATCTCCACCTGCGGGAACCATTCAAGCAGCCCAGTGACATCTGGTTCCACAAAACTGTGTGTGAGGACCCTGCTGGAAGCACAGTCAGAGTTCTAGACAGGGGCCTGCCATCCCTCAAGCAGCGGGACGCCGACAGGAAAGACAACCTTGCCCGGCAGAGGGGACAGGTTCTCACGGTGCCGCTGAGGCTCTGGGCTCAGGCTACTGTTTTGATATCTTCTACTGGCACGACCGGCGCTGAAGCTCTGGGTTTCCCGAGCTGTGTGACAGTTACAGGTGGAGAAGCTCGGTGTCCGGGTGTCACCCTAGTGTATCACATCTGGGTGTGTCCTGCTGGGGTGTGGGGACCACACGTCAAGGAGGAGACGCGAGCTGTCTGTTCACAGCCCCCCGCCAGGGCTTCTAAACCCCACACCTGAGAATGAGCTCTGCTCACCACGCTGTGGGCAGTCTGAGATGCTTGATGCGAGCAGTTTCTGGCCCAGCCTCTCGGGCCTGGAATTACAGGGATGCACATACAGCAAAGAGGGGAGCAGCAACCGACGGAGAGTGCGAAGAGGGAGGACACAGGTGAGGGACGAGCAAGGAGAGTTCAAGGAAGGGGGCTTCTCCAGCCTCCGGTGGTCTGTTCAACAACCACTGCCGTCATTCTTTCTTGCGAACAAGAGTGAGAATTCCAAACAACTGATTAAAAGGCGGCCTGAGTGTGTGAAAACACACACTCCCTGAAAGTAACTCCATGAAAACTGCTAGAGGGCTTCCCTGGTGGCGCAGTGGTTGGGAGTCCACCTGCCGATGCAGGGGACACGGGTTCGTGCCCCGGTCCAGGAGGATCCCACAATGCCGCGGAGCGGCTGGGCCCGTGAGCCATGGCCGCTGAGCCTGCGCGTCCAGAGCCTGTGCTCCGCGACGGGAGAGGCCACAGCAGTGAGAGACCCGCGTACTGCAAAAACCAACCAAACAAAAAACTGCTAGAAATGTTAGAGGATTTATAAGACCACAATACTCTTCCTTTCTTAGATGAAAATTAAAAAAGAAAATTTCATGATTTTTACTTATGACTCATTATGACTTGTTATGAATATTCTGAATGGGTAAAAATTATGCCCAATATTTAAATAAAATATATTAAAGCTCATTCATAAATGTTATTTATTTGTTTATACCATTATAGCTTCCTTTTAAAAGCGCATTTTAATGAGCTGCTTTGCTTATATACTGGAAGCTAAAATGAAATGAATGAATCAGAACCTCACATTTAGGCTTTGTTACACCACAAAATGAGAAGAAAAATGAGTGAACATTCAGCATGTCATCATGGATGAATGTTCACACGCTTTAGCTCAAATATACGTACGATTTCTGTCTATTCCATAATCTAACTGAGCTGCTTAGTGACGCAGGGCCACCAGCTCCTCTTTATCCCCATCCCAGTGCAATGTAATTCCAGGCAGAATCAGAAGCCTGCGTTCAGTGTGCACATCCTCAGGACGAGATGTTCCAAGAGTTGAGGGGAAGGATGACAGAGTTCTACGCCTGGACCCGAGGACCCGATTCCTCATTTTACAGGAAACTCGGCGTCGCCTCCGTGAACCTCTGTCCGTGAGGAGAACCAGCAGGGCCGCAGTGGCCACGGGACCGGGTACCTGTAGTTTAGAGCCGCTGGGCGATGGCCTGCGCGCTCAGAGTTCTGAGCTTTTGTCAGCAGCAGACAAAACACCTGTCAGCATCAGTTGCCAATCCCCGGACCCAGCGGAGGGCCCGGCGCTCTGCCGTGAGCGTGACCAGGCCCGGGGGTGCGGGGGAGGCCGTGGGCAGGCCGGCACGGGAGCCGTCAGGCCACAGTCAGGCACGGTGGGAAGAAACATTTTTTTCCTATGCTGAAGGGAAACATAGCTGCTCCTAACCAGAAGCATGGGAACAGCCGTCTCTTGATTATCAAGGCTGCCAGGTAGAATGTATTGAAGAGAAATATCCCCACACTTCCCCACGTAACATGCCTTTAACCTTTCCATCGAACACCTTTCCACTATTAAGAAGTGGCAACAGAGACACATCCTCATTTGGGGTAGAAGCCTGCTCATCGCCTTCTGCGGAAGGGATGGACCACAAATGGCTAGGAAGTGTCGGTGAGAAAGGAACACAGGACCTCCCACGCTGGGGGAGTAGCCCCCGGACAACCAGGGGATGCTGGGCCTCTCCAGACGAGCACGGGAGGACGTGGACCCCCCCTACAATGCCAGGCGCACGGATGAGCCTTACGGAGCGAGAGGACGGATACAGCCCTGCTCCCCAGTGCTGGGGGCTTCCTGGCACAAGTGTGGGAGGGTGACCTTCCGAGAGAGGAGGCGGACGTGTCTGCCTGCCCTGTGCAGACACCACGGGGTCCCAGAGCAGGAAGCGTGGGCGGGAGAGCAAGGCCAGGGGGCCTCCCACCCACTTCTAACCTGTGGAGCCACCACTGCTGCTGGGGCCACACCCTGAACGCTTGCTCACCAGGGCTCCTGGCTTTGGGCCCTTCTCGCCTGGTCCTCCGGAGACTAGCTGGACCCGACAGGCCACTGGCTGGTAAGAAGTTTCACAAATTTGGGGCGGGAGCCCTGCCACCCCCTTCCTGACTCCGAGCAGTATAGCACGGCTAGTTCACTTCCACTCACTCGAGCCAACCTCATTGAGACAACCAGTCTGATTTCTGCCCTGTGGTAGGTTTTAAAACCTACCTTTTTCCCCCCTTTTCTACAAGGGGTGAGTTCCTTTAGTCAAAAAGAAGAAAAAGAATTTTTACACTAGTGAGGCTAAAAGTCTAACAGTACCTCATGCTGGAAATCCTCCTTCAAGCCTGGGAAAACTCAGGGCAACACAGACCAACTCCCGTTACGTGAAAAGCGAAGATGATGAAGGATAAAGCACTGAGGACTAAGAGAGCCTAACCCCCCAACCTTCCCTGTGTCCCCAAAGAAACAGATCTGAGATTTAAGGAAAAACAACGCAAAAAGAAGTTGAGAAACATGTTTTCACTTCTAGTCTTCTTAGTTCATCATTTACCTACCAAGTTAAGGAAGATGCTGATTTTTGATTTTTTGAAACTTCTACAAAAATTACCATCTTTATTATTAATTGGGCCTTTGTAGTCTCTTGTTCTGTTTTTATATTTTCTTCCCCAATCAGGCTCTGCATTTCCTGGCAACCAGGACCTTTCTTTGTTGCTCCACTGCTGCATCCAACAGACGATGACCAGCCAATCTTACAAAAGATGGCAGTGATCTACGGTTTGTCACTCGTGAATCAAGAACAGATGAGAAAAACAGCCAGTGCAGTGATTACTACGTGCGGCCACTTCTAAGCAACTTACACATACAACCTCATTCACTCTTCATGACTCTCCAGGAAGAAGCACGATTACCACCCCTGTTGTACCGATAAGGACACCAGGGTAGAGATGCCGAATCACTGGCCCAAGGTCACACACGAGTAAGAGGAGGGGCCCGGATTTAACAGGGAGTGTGGCTCCAGAGCCTGGGCTTTCAGTACCCATGCTCATGCTGCCTCTCAGAGGTCCTTCCAAATTGTTTTACATTTAATACAAACATTTGATGGGTTTCAAACATATTTACAAGGTTCTCCACCAAGAGATGTTCATTCTACCTCAAGGCTACTCCAGAAGGCTCTTTGTAACCGGCCCTCTCCCTTCCCCAAGTCGTATTTCTGGCCACCTTCCGACAATGACCCCATGCTGCAGCCCAGTGTCTCCAAAGGATGGTCCTGACCCATTGGTGGGCTGCAACCAGACTTAAATTAAATAAATCAGAATGGAAATTAGCAGAAAATGGCACAGAATCAGTATTGCTGCATGACTGTCTCTGTTTCATTTCTGTGTGTACGTTTGCACTAGGTCACAATACAAGATTATTTTTTACTCCAGAGCACAGTCTGAATGTCACCACCTAATCCTCATACCAGATCTTAGTGCCATGGCACATCAGGTGCCCGAGAATGGGCAGACGGATGCGTCAGTGGGTCTGTCCAGCTCAGTGTGTTCAGGAGCCAGAGTGAGGTCACCCTGTAGGTCAAGGCCCACTGTGGGCCGCTCGTCTGATGACCAGGACTGGATATAAGTGCAGGCAAAGCATAGCACATGCAGAAGCACTGACATTCACCCCAGTCTTACCCCTACGCCCAGGGTACACATGAGGGTAGTACTCGTAATAGAGATCTGGCTGATCCAGGTTTCCGAAGGGCTCAAACTCCATCTCGGCATTCTGGAAAAGGCCCAGCTTCACCAGCAGTGCCAGCCTCACAAACCAAAGCTAAAAACCAAAACATAATTGAAATAATCGGTTATCTGTGTGTCGCAGGGTCAGAGACTCCTATTCCCTTTTAATTTGATATTAGAGCTCGATTTCAAATACATTAAAACAAGAGCTAAACTAACTTTCTTTCTTGGCACGTTTGCATAATTACAGGTTTATAAAAACGGATTTGAAAAGGGACACCCCCTCCCGGAAAGAGAGCAGAATCCAGGGGCTGGGGTGAAGGAGGAGGGAGGCCGTGAGCGCAGGGGGAGCGGGCGGCGGAGCTGTGTCGGGGGAGCAGCGAAGGGCGTGGCATCTCGGGGGGAGGGGCGTGGGGGGAAGCAGCCGGCTCCAGCGGCCAGAACACACGGCACCTTCCGGAAACCAGCTGAGGCCACGTGAGAGGGCACGGCTGGGGCCTCGGAAGTGACCCAAGTCAACCTCGTTCCACCATGGAGAGAAACGAGGTGTAAAAGCAGTGACCGCGTGGCAAGGGCCGGACTGAAAAGCCGGGCACCGCTCCGAGCGAGCGAAGGCCACCCTGCTCCGGTCCGCCGTGCGTGCACGGCCGCCTGTAACCTGGGGGCGGCGGGCGGGGCTCGCAGCTGCAGAGCAGGAAGGTGGCGGCAGTCTGTGGGACGACCGTGAAGAGGGAGCGGGGGTCGGCTCACGCGGGGAGCGGAGCCGTGTCCGGGGAGGGCCACCCTGGCCGTGTGGACGGGCTTCAGAGATGAGGAAGGAAAACCTGCCCCGCTTGGGCCAGAGGCCTGGGGACGCAGCGCGTGTAACGTGGCCGTGCGCTCCTGACTGCGCCCCGCCGGGCAGACGGAGAAACAGGAGCACAGCCCAGACCGCTGCGCCCGGAGGCCTCCAGGGTCCCTCCTCTCACCAGCTCTTCGCGGACTTGGAGAATCTGGAGGCTGGCTCGATTTGGGGGGGGGGTTCCCACAGAATTTCGAATAAAAGTTAGCAAACGCCCCGTGGAGAGGCGGGAATTTAAGGACTTCTGTGCTGCACCTTCTCGTCAGAGGAGCTTCCCGTCGTTCAGAACTCTCCTTTCCGCGCTCCTCCCTCCTCCTTAAGAATTTAAGGCCCTTCCAGCCCCCAGACGCTGCTGAAGCCAAGAAGGCTCAGGGCGGTACCTGCAGGGAGTCGGCGGTGTGGCTGGTCGGCAGCCCGCTCTTGCCATAGCCTTGGCCGTGGGCCGTAAGGAGCCGCCCGCACAGGTCCACGGCTGCCCTCCAGTTCTTGCAGCTCTGAAAGACACGGGGACACGTCACCAAGGGCTGGGCGGCTCACACGCGAAGGCCGGACGGGCGTTAGGCAGGAAGGGTGCCGAGCCGCAGACGCGCTTCAAGACGAGCGAAAGGGAGTATGTTACCAGTTAACCACTGACAGCGCGGGGGCAGAATTCTCTACGAAAGCTCCCCGACCACAAATCCGTAAGGCTGCTTTCCTTTTTAGCAAGACACCTCTATCTTGTGATTTTTATCAAATTACAATCGAATATTTAATTTTAATCTTTGTGCTGGGTATATCTGTATCTAAGGTCTGTGTGTGACTGTAAGTGGTTTATATGTTTAACATGATTCTGTGTTCTCAATATGAAAAATAAATCAATGAACTACGCCGATGCAACATGTTCTAGGCCGTGTATCCACATGCAGCGCTTCATGTTATAACTAGAGGGATGCTGGCTGATACCGACACACGGGCTCGGGGGACTCGGCCTCACCGTGCCCATCTCTGCCCTGATGTGACACAGAAAGGAGGGCCACCAGGCAAATGGGCGGGGAAACATCACCAGAGGGACCGTTTGACCCTTTAAGAAGCTAGAAGTGGATGCTGGACGCAGGCTCTCCCGACAGAACAGGCACCACCCATTGCCGCGTCAGCGCACGGCCCAGTCCGCACGGCAGAGGCAGGTCAGGTCTGCGGAGCAGGGGGTGGAGCGGGGGGTGAACACACATCTTTGCACCTGTTAACCTTGGCTCCAGCGAGGAAGGGGGACAGTAAACTGCTGTTTTCAAGGACGCACTGAGTGATTTTGTGTCTGCGAAGTGCTTCTTGAACAAGAAGCCGGGGGTGCCGGGGGAGCGTGTCCAGCCTGTTCTTTCCTCAGTTAGAATTCACATTTCTTTTTATGACACAGTCAGCGAGGGCCAGCTCCTCGTGGAGGACCCCTCATTCCTCTTCTTCCTCTCTCACGTGTGTGTGTGCATGTGTGTGTGCATGCCCAGCCCGCTTAGTGCAACTGGGCCGGGACGGATGTTGGTGTGGCACGAGTCCAGGCTCCACGGTGAACTGGCCGTGTGCCCTAACGCAAGCCGCCTGCCTGCCCCAGCCACGGGCACCTCAGGCTCCTCGCGGCTCCTCGTGACCTGACAGGTCATGGCTTTTTAGTGCTGAGTGATATTCCAGCGTCTGGACGAACCACCGTTACCCATTCACCTGCTGAAGGGCACCTTGGCCACATCCAATCTGGCCACGATGAATAAAGGTGCTATGAACATGCAAGTGCAGGCTTTTGTGTGGACATGAGTTTGAAATCCTCTGGGCAGAGCAAGCAGCAGGACTGCCGGACTGGATGGCAGGCTCATCTGGCTTTACAAGGACCCTCAAGGCTGTGCACATCTGCTCTCCACCAGCAGAGAGTGGAGCCTGCTGGCCGCACGCCCGCCGGCGCCTGCGGGGTCAGAGCCTGGATTCCAGCCGCTCTCATAGGCGTGCAGTGGTCTCTCAGTGTTGCATGGGCTTCTCAACACTTTCTCGCGTTATTTTCCTCCCGCGTTATTTTCCTCACTGGCCCGACAGCCAGCACCAGCTACCGGATTCCCGTCAGCAAGCTGCAGCTGTAACCGGATGACGCAAACCCGATTTCTTAAACTATATCTTGCAGCCTTCCCTTTCCATGATGAGAAGACTGGCACAGAGACAGCGCGGTGCTTCAGGAAGACAGGCTTCCTGCTCCAGGGCCATGTGCTGTCCAGCTCTGAGAGCCACTGGTCCATCCTGAGATCGGACTGGAGCCACTTCCCTCGAAACGGTCCCAAGTACGACAGGAACGATTTCCAGGAACACAGGCCTTCCTCGTTCTGGTGGGCAGCTCAGAGCTACTTTTAGGCGGGTTAAGATCATTTATGCTACAACTGTCTTCAGGTGCTTTCTCCGGTCTAAACTCAGCGCAACAACCCCTTTCTATGGCAACAGCGGCCGTGTCCATCCTCCTTGAGCTGCAAACGTGGAAAGGGACAGGGAAGGGTGTTCCGCTGAGTTCGGACCAGCTCTGTGTGTACATCTCAGCGGGTCCCGTGTGCAGGGCTTGGTGATGGCCTCTTCCTGCCCGCCTGCGTCGCACACGCTGACCCCTCCTGCTGGGGACACTAGATCGCAACAGAGCGCATGGGGCAGTCTTCCCAGGAAAGGACTTCAGCTGAGAGCGAGGAAAGGATGACCCAGTGAGGAGGGCAGGTGTGAGCAGCCGGGAAGCACAGGAGCAGGAGGGAAGGCCCTGTGGCCCGAGGGAGGGGGGCAGGTGAGGGTGGCAGCCCAGGTGAGGACGGGGGCAGGTAAGGCCAGGCCCCTGCGCAGGCTGCCAAGAGCATGGCGACATTCTGGAAACAGCAGCCCCTGCAGTGATGAAGAGTGAATCTGAGGGGCCATGCAGATGTCGCCGCAGCATTCGGGAGGGTGCCCAGTCCCCCAGACCCCGCGTCGGCCTGTGGACCACACCCACCGCCACTTGGCCCCTTCCGCAGGCTCCAGGCGGCTCTGTGCACCCTCCGAGGAGGTGGGCACTCATCTGCTGCCCGGGGACCGAGCGGCCCGCAGGGCCCAGGATACTCCGTGGTCCTGACAGGACACGCGGCCGCTGCCACCTCGGAGGGACTGTGGACCATGCCCCCTCAATGGCTTGTGACTGGTCCACAGCCAGAAAGGCTCAGAGGCTGAGAAACTTCTACAGGATGAGATGCCTATTGAATAAAATAGTAACAAAAGGGGGCTTGCATGTGGTACATCTCATTTTACTCATTATTATTAATTGATATTGAATTTTACAAAAGTTTTAGTCTGCTAAAGACTGCAAAGTCAAAAAAAAAAAAAACCACGAGAAAAACCCAAAACCCAAAACCCAAAACCAAACCCCACTGTCCTCAGTGCCGAGCCTGAAAGGCACAGCTGCAGATGCAGAAGGCAGGGGGACAAGACTGGGTGACAACCTGGGCCTCTGAGACACTCGGAGGAAAAGAAACATAAGCAGCTGGCCGTGCGGCCTGTGCCTGCCCGAGACGGGACGTGGGAGAACCTGACCGTGGAGGGTGGAGGAGCAGAGGGTGGGGCAGCGGCCGGGGCAGGGAGGACGGGCCGGCCAGTCGGCCGGGCGGTGACGCAGAGCCAGAGTGAAGGAAGGTGGCGTCCTGGGAGCAGGGAGGAGACGCGCGCGGGTGGAGGTCAGATCCACCAGATGGGAGGTGGACGAGCAGCGGCGGGCAGTTGAGGAGGCAGCTCCGGGGGCCTGCAAGTCGCCAAGCTCCCGGGGGCAGCGCCAGGGACAGCGAGACTCAGTGCTCCTTTCTAACCAAATACTCGGAGCCTTACAGAGCAAAGGCGGACCAAGCTGGAGACTGGCCAACTGCCTGCTGGGAAGGATCCTGACTGCAGACCTCTGGAGGCGAGTGCCCGGAGGGAAGGGAAGGGTTCTGTCTGGGGGTGGCGTGGGGAGGTGAGGCCATTCATTGAGGAGTAGGGAGAGGGGTGGGGTCTGAAAGAAGCAGGGATCCTTTAAAGAGGCACTGAGAGCAACCAGAAGAGCCCACCGGCACACACACAGGGGACGGGACTTGGGTCCTGGGGACAACGCGTAACCCAACGTAAAACCTGACTCCTTAGTCTTTAGCTTCCTGCGGGCTCAGGGTGGTGGCGAGCAATTAGGGAAATGGCTAACAACGTTCCTCAGGCGCCAGTACTGAAAAGTGGCTCGGGCAACACTGCTCTAGGGTGCGGTCTAGCTCACCCATCCTGCCCGCATAAAAGACAGCCTCGCATTCCAGGTAACTGTCAACTGTGACTGTGTCCTGTCTCCTCCTCTGGGTGAGGTCCTGGGGCAGTGGCCTTGTCTAGGGCACTGGTTTTAGCCTCTAATGGTATTTCTTTACTATGGCCCTTATCACGTATAGATGCTCAAAGATTTGTGAAACATGAAATAGTGAATTCATAGAACTATAAAAGGCAGTAAAAAAAAAATACATTAGTAATGGAAGAGATGCAAGTCACAATTTACTAGTGAGTTGACCTTCAACAGCTCCCACTGCCCCCCACCCCCCAAAAAAAAGAAAGAAAAAAGAGAAAAAAAAGCAAATGCCATTGCTAGCCTACGAAATGAGAAAAAACAATTTTTTAAAAAGAACAAGTCAGGGCAGACAAGGAGACATGAAAGCAAGTACATGCACATGGTACCGGTAAACGTGCACTGCTATACTGTTTCTGAAAAATACGTATTAATAGTCTGTATTAATATGTCTCAAAACTGTCCCTACTCTGACCCAGTCAGTCTCCTCCTAGGATTGATCCTAAAGAAATAATCCAAGGAGGACTGGGTCCAGGACCTGCAGGAAAAAATCCACGTGTAGGTGGATCTACGCAGTTCACACCCATGTTGTTCAAGGGTCAACTGTAATATGGAATTGTGTTTGTATAACACAAATACATATATATATCTATCCATATTCACACAGAGACACACTGCATGTATACACACACATACTAAACTAAATGTTAGTACATAATACCATCATGACATCGCTTATATGTGGAATCTAAAGACAAACATGATACAAATGAACTTATATATAAAACAGAAATAGATTCACAAACATAGAAAACAAACTTCTGGTTACCAAAGGGGAAGTGGTGGGAGGGATAAATTAGGAATTTGGGATTAACATATACACACTACTATATATAAAATAGGTAACCAACAAGGACCTACTGTGTAGCACAGGGAACTCTATTCAATATCTTGTAATAACCTATAATGGAAAAGAATCTGAAAAAGAATATATATACACACACATAGATATGTGTGTATATATATATAACTGAATTGCTGTGCTATACACCTGAAACTAACACAACATTGTAAATCAAATATACTTCAAAAAAAATGTTAGTACATAGTAACTAAGATGTTAACCAACAGTGGTTTACGCAATTAATTTCTCTTCCATTTTTCTGAAGTAAGAACATGCTGTTTGTA